TAATCCACTATTTTGAAAGACACACACACACACACACACACACACAGAGCAACAGCAACAAGTTTGGTAAGATATTGGGAGTAAGAAACTCACCCATGGGGGAAGCACAGTGCATTTTTTTTCTCCCTAAAACTTGCTTCTTTAGTTGATGCAGCATTTTAATCCACTATTTTGAAAGACACACACACACACACACACACACACACACAGAGCAACAGCAACAAGTTTGGTAAGATGTTGGGAGTAAGAAACTCACCCATGGGGGAAGCACAGTGAATTTTTTTTCTCCCTAAAACTTGCTTCTTTAGCTTGGACAGGCTTAGTAATCATCTGCAGAGAGAAAAACAAGCCTCTGGTTTTACTTTATGGATCTAACCTGCAGAGTTCTACAAATCTATAAGGAGCAAAGTTTGGAGCATGTGTGAATTGTTTGTTTAGGGGTGATTTCTTTTAGGAAGACAAAGTCCAAAAGTCCATTATTTAAAAAGCTGAATAAAACCATGTATTTAAAAATTATACCATCTAGACTAATCCAGTCTGTGATTTATTTATGACTGTTTTCTCTTTTTTGCCTTCGAAAGAAGGTTGAATTTGAAATTTTATTAAAAACACCCTTGTTGTGGATTTATAGCTGGAGGAAGCTATTTTATCCCATTGCTGTGTAGAATTAGTATTTACTGGACAAGATGTGTTGATTCAGGAGGCTGTCGATGGAGTGTTTGCCCCATGAGGGTCATAGGAAACTTCAGAGAAGCTTTTTGAGCTACATAGCATCCTGGGAACAATAGATCAAGCAGATGGATACAGGCTCTCCTGTTAGGAAGCCAGGGGTGGAATTATGGTCAGCTCCCTGTTATTACTTCCATGCTAAGGAGCCTCTGAGGAAATAGGTCTAGGATGAAAAAGGCTAAACATGAGGAAAGAAGGCTTCCAGAAACCAGCAGCACTGAGCTCGAAAAGAATAGTCATTGGAGATGGTGGTTTGTTTGCAAACATGCAACGGCTCTATGTCATTGAAGTAAGAGTCGTGAGTATATTGCCCCAGGTTGGTCAGAAGGCATGCTAGCCGCCTTAATGCCATTGTGGACTCGGTGGGATACTCCTTTCACAGTGGTACATAGTATCGTTTTTAGCACATAAGAAGCTTTTAATATGCATATTAAAAACTGATTTTTTTTCCATGCTGATGACCACAAAAGGTATTCCTTCAGAATTCAGTCAATGGAATAGTCTTTGATGTAGAAAAATTAGACAAGAATAAATAATTAGGAACGTGACTTTACGTTACAGTTTACGTGTAACTTACATTTTGATGTCTTCCCATGTTCCTCGTCACGTTCAGTGTCTAAGTGTACAAATTGGCTGAAGAAAAGTCAGGAAATAAAAAGCCAGTGCTGTTGAAAGTGTTCACAGATGAAATACCAACTAAGAGCCATTAGCAGTGAATATGCTCACAACCAAAGATCCGAAGTTACTGCAGGCCAGTGTTTCTGCCAGCAATCTCGCTGTGCTTTCTAGTCGTGTTCTGCTTTTCCCAGAAAGTCTTCCTACCATTTCCTCTTTCTCCAGACACCCAACTCCCCTCACTCTTGGACACTGAGCTGAAGGCTGTGCTCTCCTTCAGCTCATGGGTGGGGGTGGTCCTTGGCTCTACCTACTTCCCTGCCTCTCTGTACCTGCATTGACTTCTGCCCAAGGCTGGGTATTCCTGCTCTATTCATTAGTCAGTAGCCGTGGCTCTCCTCTCCGTTTACCTGGTCCCACGTGCCCTGGTGTCTCTTTCTGTCCCCACACCAAGTCCTTGTCTGTCATTGTCTTCTCTTCATTACCCACCCCTCGGACTTTTAGTGTGCTCTCCCAATAATCAAGCTTAGTCTTGTTTAGCTTTGTTTTCCTGTTGCTCTGATGAAATGCCCCCACAAAAGCAGCTTGGGGGAGGTCAGGTCAGCAGGAGTTGGAAGCAGCTAGCCACATCATCTCCAGTCAGGAAGCTCTTAGTTTACTTTCTCTATATCATATAGTCCAGAATTCTCTGCCCGGGGAATGAAGATGGGGTGTCACACATCAATTAACCTGATCAAGAGTCTCCCACCCAGGTCTTTTCAGCCTTCTCTCTGCAGAATGCCCTGGCCACTCGGCCTCCCAGCTCTTCCTGCAACAACCCTGAACAGCTCTGCTTGGCCAAATGTAAAGTTTCCCTCCCAGCCTCCTTCCTTCAGCTTCCAGCCACTTGATGCAATTCATCGATCCTTTGCTTCCTTTTTAGAAAACTTTCCTTCCTTTCCTCCAGCCCAAACTTTCACAGCTTTTCTTTCGCCCCCTGAACCCAAAATTTGGGTCATTCTTGGGCTCAGGTTACAGACCTCTTCCGTGCCAATGCTCTCTGCATTTACTAACTGGTTCATTTCAAGCCTCAGCCTTTAAAAGCTCTATTATCGAATACATCAATAATAATTTATACACAGATGGCCTTCCTTGATTTTGCCCCAAAAAGTACAAGATAAGTCTGATGCATTAGACAGAACAAATACAGTGCTTGGTCCCCCATAATCCATTTTGCCCCTCAGTGCCTCTTGTCATAGGAATGGTACGAACAGTCACCCGAGCATCTGGCTGAAAACATTGGCATTGCCCCTGACCCTGTATTCCATGAACAGTGCTATTCCCCTGTGGGTGGCAAAATCTCTCTTCACCTCTGCCACTGTCACACAAATCCAAACCATTGTCACCTTGTACCCGGACCATTTCAACACTGTCATCGGTATCTGCACTCCACATTGTACCATTTACAACTCTTAAACAATTGGATGGCCCCAGCCCCATTTGAGATGAGATCCAAAGCTTTTCCTGTGAGTTTCAGGGTCTTCCAGGAGGATGTGCCTGTCTCCTCCCTGTCCTCTCCTCCTACCCTGGTCTGCCTCAGCCACAGGGGCCTGTGAACACAGCCAGAGCGTTCATCTGCTCACTGACAGGCTCCTCTTTCCCTGTTCTCTGACTGAACTGCTCCTCACTGACATCCTGGAGTCCATCTCTCTCAAGCCCTCGAGGTGTCTGCTCGACTATCACCTAATTATGTGCCATTTCTATCATCGTCTGGCTTGCTCCAAAATGCTACTAGTAACTGAAATCATACACCCCTTGGTGCTTTACCTTCTGCTACCTGGTTTTTAAATGTTATTTACATGTATTTATTGTATGTGTGTTGTGTGTATGTGTGCCCTGTGCCTATGTGCACATGCATGTGCATGTATGTGCCATGGACCACGTGTGGAAGTCAGAGAAAACCTTGTAGCAGTCAGCCCTCTCCTTCCATGGTGTGGGTTCCAAGGGAGGAGTTCAGGTCATCAGCCTTGGTGGCAAGATCTTTCCCTTCTGAGCCAAGCCCCTGGCTCCCTGGTTTTTATTTTCTTTCCTTTTAATCTCTGGGCTACTTAGCATCTTGTCCTTCTCCCTTGTCTTCTGATCCCTCGCCCTACCACTTAAACGTAAGCTCCTTGGAGGCAGGGGTGTGCGGTTTTCTCAGTGCACACCTGGGAAGAGCACTGCTTAGCACAGAGAGGAGCCTCCATATATGTGTATTGAACAAATGAATGAATTATTGATGAACTCAAAGCCCTTACTGAAGATTGATGAAACATGTAATCTAATTCTTCCCTTCTCATCACAGCCCATTCATTAGCCTCGTGTTCACAGCCAGTGTCTTCTGCGCTCTAGAGCGCATAAAATCCACATGCTCTACAAGGCTGGATGTATTCTTTGAAATGTTGAAAGAGGACACGGATACTTCATTTGTTTTCATTACAATAATAATATTATATTGCTGTGATGTTAGTAAATGACATTAAATAACACGAATTAGTAAATACAAAATAGTAACCACTAAATTATGCTAAGAACTTTAGTTCAGTCCAATGTGGTATGAATAATAATAATAACCAATAAATCCTAGTACCCAAAACAAGGTAGTATGTTGATATGTCCTGTGATTTTCATACCTGTGCTAAGGAAAAGTGTCATGCCTAAATTAAAGATAAGAGAACATAGGCTTAGAGTTATTAGGTGGTTTTCCTGGAGCGATGGAGCTTTGTTTAATCTGCTTTTGACTGTCTGACTAGCTTTGCAACAAATATGATGCGCCCATTCAAATTATAATTGTTGGAAAAAGTAATTAAGCAACAACAATAATCCTGTCAATTGTTTTTAGTAGAGTAGCATTTATTTTCACTGAGCCTTACTGGGCCTTCTAGAAATACTGCAGTTGGTTCTCCTGATGGGTATACCAAGCAGGCGTGCTCAACTCATGACAAGTTTGCCAGGAATGCACCAATGCCAGAAATGGCAACATCCAAGCAGCAAATTGAACCATATTTGAGTGGGGACAGAGCGTTGTGAAGGGATATCTTACTGAAGAAAAGCACAAAGTAGCTCGGGTTTCATATGATCTTGGCTGAGAATCAAGGGTGGAATGTACTGTGTTGTCACTGGAGAGAGACACGTCTGAAACCAACCCCCGTCCTAGCAAACTCATCCTCCTCTAACAGCAGAAAAGTCCTCTGTGGTCCTGGGAAGTTGTGCAACTAAGGGATCCTGGGTGACCTGAGCGGAGGAATGTGAGACCCAGACAGCTTCACTGTTCCATTGCTCGTTACTGGATCTGTTGAGCAAAAGGTTAAATTCAAGGCACTCTAACGTTTGCTTTACTAAACATACCCCATGTTTTCGAGTAGACAAACAGAAGTCCAGGTGGGACTGTTTGACGTATTCATTTCTTGTGCTGCTTGGGGGCTGGCTTCTGAGATCAAAGGTTCCATAACTGTGTAGAGATGAACAGGAAAGGCAGACGGTGGTTCCGAAATGAAAATGTTAAATTAAATGGACCATGTTTAACGTCGCTGTTGATCCCAAGGAATGGTTTTTCCAGTATAGGGAGCATTTCCATCCCACCCAGCATATGTTCCCCACAGTTTTCTCTGCTCTAATTCATCTGTGTTTCCCAACAGCTCCAGATGGCCTTCTGCCCCCCGGGCCTGCATCTGCCACTCCAACCAGTCTTCAGGTTGTCTGGTCTACACCAGCTCATAACAACACCCCAGGCTCTCCCAGATACCAGCTCCAGATGAGGCCTGGCCACTCCACCCATGGCTTTCTTGAGTGAGTATTTTACCTTGCCCCTCTTCCTGTGGATGGGTTATACAGTGTCCACTAAAAATTCTGAAGAGTAGGCCAGTACTCATTTGCAAATAAAATGGCTTATCTTTTAAAAGCTCAAATTAAAACAAGTAAACAACCTAGCAAATACAAATTTGCTTTGCAGAAAGGGATATATTTTTCATTTCTGCATTATTGGACGTGACCCTTTTGAGTAAGCCTTATGTGAGTGCAGGATTTACAAATTAGAATGTACCTAAAACTCACAAACCATGGTCTAAGTTGTGATTAAAAAATTGCAATAACTACTCTACAAATTCTGTGAATTTAGGTCTCTTAGAAACGTAAGAGATCACAGTGCCATGCACAGCCACTTGTGTTGAAGTTTATAATTCAAACCCCAAATGATAGTGCTCACATATATGTTGGTATTCGTTGACTGCTTTTTACAGTGAGATTTGCCTTTTTATTTTCAGAGTGTCTACCCTTCCTAACTGGCATTTCTCTCCCACGTAGATTGTTTGCCAGTCCCTCTGCAGCGTTAAGCTGTGAAGTGAGGGATCTCCAGCCAGTCACCATGTATGAGTTTCGGTTGGTTGCCACCAATTTCTTTGGCAGTACGCACAGTCCTTGGGCTCCACTCATTATGGCAGAGGACAGTAAGTAGGCTGACTGACCACATGAAAACAAAAGTCCTTGACATTGGGGATGTGTAACTGTCTTTACTTATCTCAAAACAAGGGAATGAACTCCCTCCCTTTCTTGTCACAGAGTGGCAATAGAGAGGACAGAGGTGGACGCTCTTTAGAGCAGGAAAACAATCATGGATTCAGCGTGCAGGATGGTCAGACCTAAACACAGGAAGAAGGAAATTCCAGTTATGACATGGCATGATCTGTCCAGGGTACAGTTTAGGGACCCTGAGAGGGAGAAGTTGCCATCTTCTGCTCTTTGACCAAATGTGAAAAGCTTAGGGACATTCTGGAAGGCAAGCAAAGATGAACTAAGGACAGTGCCTCAGGGAGAGTGCTTAGAGACCCCCACACTGACAGCTAAAGCAAACACCATTCTACTGTAAATATACTTAACACTTTTTTAAAAATATATTTTTGGGGTCTTTTTTGAGACAGGGTCTCCCTGGAGCCCCAGCTATCCTGGAACTCGTTATGTAGACCAGGCTGGCCTTGAACTCACAGAGATCTGCTTGCCTCTGCCTCCCGAGTGCTGGGATTAAAGGCGTGTGCCACCACGCCCGGCAAAAAAATATTTTTTAAATTTATGTGAATGAGTGTATTGCCTGCATGCATGTGAGTGCACCTGTGTCATGCAAAGCCCAAGGAGGTCAGAAGAGGGCCCTGGAACTGGAGCTATGGGCAGTTGTTAGCCACCATGTGGGTGCTGGGATTCGAACCCAGGTCCTCTGCAGGAGCAGTCGATGCTCTTAACTGCTGAGTCATCTCTCCAGCCCCCAAATGCTTAAATAGTCTTAAATGATGAACAGAGGACACATGGGGATTACCTTACTCAACCAATAGAGAATTTTCCTGCTTTTCATTGAAAAAAAAATTTAAGACACATTTAGGGAATAAATACATGGATATGATATTTTGTTTTATATTAATTACATCTGCAAAATTACACACACACACACACAAAGGTAACATTTTTTGAGAAAAGTTGCAGATTAAATCAAACTATGTAGTGAAAGAGAACACTATGTCTTGGAACAATGAAGTTTGGGGGTTAATCATGTCAAGTCCTGTGATCACATACTTCTAAGGGGATGTTGTCCTCCTGGCCATTTGCCATTCTAGCCTTATAACCAATGAGGATGGGGGTGACTTTCAAAACATCTAACCCTCAATTCAGAAGTGTAGCATTTAAAACAATATCAGATTTGCATTAAGTAGGTTATTTTATTTTTATAATACCTGTAATTGTTTTATTTTAGTGATAACAAAGCATAAAATTTTACAGAATCAGAACAATTTGCCATCTTTTAAAGTTTATCTTAAAAATGCTACTATGAACAGTGGACTATAATACTTCGTTCATTTCCCCCAACACTTAATTAATCCCTGGGAGCAAGTTAAGTGATTTACAAGGGCATAGCAAATGTGTTTTGTCTCAAGGTAGCACTTAGTACATCATTAATATACACAAAAAATGCACCCAAGGCTCAGAGAGCATTGATGTGGTACCTTTTAGGGGGGAACATCACATACACCCTGGGAAATCAGACACCATGGTCACCAATGGCATTCAGATTTATGAACTGGAAAGCTCACATTCAAAATAGATTTTTGAAAAGACATTTTAAAAAACGAAGATAGATGTTTAATCTCCTTTTAAAAATAGCATGCTTGATGGTACTCAATAAAGATTAAGTAAAAATTATTATTCAACCCACTGCAGAGGTGATGGCTCAATAGAGTGGCGGGGTGGGTAGAAGGGAGGAATGTTCTCTCTTTTGTTACTGCATTTCTCTTCCTCCAGGGAAAAGGCAAATATCAGATCTCCTCAGCAAACTCTGGCCACAGCCCTTACTGAGTGGGGGCCTTGACTTGCTAGAAAGACAGTAGAGTTAGCACAGCACCCTTCAACCAACTTAACTCCCATCATCTCTTACTGTAAGGCAGGTCTTACAGATGATATATGGTCAGAATTTGGCAGACACTTTGCCATCTTGCTAACATGTAGGGCCTGTGTATATCCAACGGGTATGAACTTAAAAGGCCAGCCATTTGAACACTTGCCCCGAGGTGCATGGGCTGGTCCTTCTCCCACTACATGTGCGCTGTGATGCATTGGCAAAGAACCAGAAGCTAGCCACATGCTCCTGCCAGTAAAGTCCCCAGTGTACACTCACCCCTGAGACCTGGTGACAGGATGCTATACATTTTGGATGTCAGGTGAGATGGATACCATCTCTCAAAGGATGTGCAATTGAGTTGACAAAGGCTGAGTGATTGGCACTGGGCACAAGCGGTTTTTCTGTCAAGGCTGCAAAGCATGGCTTATAAAGCCACCCACACTGACAGCCCCGTGCCAGCACTGCACTTCATCCTTGATCCTGACCGGCTTCCCCTGCTTGCCAAAGTGCAACTGTCCATGGCAAAATCTCACATACCACCTTTACAGAATTAAACAGAGGGGTCATCTTGTGCCTACATTTGAATTTCCTACCATCACCAGGAAGCGCGCTCCTTCATCCACAAACAACCAACCCAGGGCAACGTTTTCATGTGGTTTTTTGAGGCAGTGATATTCATCAGAACTGTGGCATGACTAAAAGCAGAAAGGCAGACCCAGGCAGGGAATGAGCTACCCCACAGAGGATGTTGGAACCATGAGCATGTGGTACACACAGCAAAATGCTTAGCCTAGCTAGCAGCAGAAACTTGGTTTTTTAAAGCCAGAAACAACTATGTGTCCCAATTCTATAACAATTCCAAAGGTCATATTTTCATGACTATGTGCTGTATGTGAGTGTAGTTTTTGAGTACAGCTTGTTCTGAGCATCAGGTTAAATAGAGTTACACTCTCTTTGCCCATGAAAAGGCTAAAACCAGAGAGACACAGCGGGAATGAGCTTCAACCACAGATGCCAATTCTCGGGTAGAAAGAGAAGTTTTCCTGAGAGAAGTCTGTGAGGAATTCTAATATATTTTTTCAGATAATTTGTCATTTACATCAGTGTGCCGCTGATACCCAGTTCCATGCATTTTTAAAAATCCAGTGTGCCAATGCCAACTAATAATACCGCACACTTCCTATGAATATTTTAAATCCCGTTAAACATGTGTTAGTAAAAGATGTTTGTTCCAGCCGAGGTGGTCAATGGGCTGACTGTTTGTAGCCAGATAAACACAAACAATGGGGCACATTCCACATGTGCTATTGCACCTGACATGTCTACAGCTGGCAAAATTGCAGAGGGATCGAGTTAGACTCAGAACAGTACGATTGGTGTGATGGGTAAGATGAAGACACGTACCCAGCAGCTGAAAATATTTTTAAATAAGTATTTTTGTTAATTCTTTGAGGCTTTCATACAATGTACTTTGATCATACTCCCCCCCAACTTTCCCTCTAAACTCCTCCCAGACCCTCCCCCATCATCCTACGCCCCAACTTAATGTCCTTTTTTAAATTTAATAACCCATTCAGTCCAGTTTGTGTTGCTCATATACTCCTGGATGCGGGGCCAGCCGCTGGAGCATGGTCAGCCTACCAGGAACCACACCCTTCAAGAAAACTGACTGACCCTCTCCCAGAAGCCATTAATGGTCTCTAATTGCTCAGCAGTGGGGACTCATGAACCCCCCACCCCATGGTAGAATGTGAATGCCTTGACCCTGTGCAGGTCTTCCGAGTTCTTGAGTACAACGTCCTATCATGCCCAGAAGGTACTGTTTGCTCCCGTCTTCTCAGTCTCCGGCTCTCACACTCTTTCCATCCCCTTCCACACTGGTCCCTGAGCCTCAGAGAGAGGGGCTGATATAGATGCCCCATTTGTGACCAAGTATGCCGCAGTCACTTGTTCTCTGCACTTTGACCAGTTGTGAGTTTCCACATTACCCACCATCCACTGCACTAAACAACTTCTCTGATGAGGTCTGAGAGCTTCAGGTCCCAGTTCAGAACTGGTCTAACCCACACCTCCAAAAATATTTTTTATTTGACATTTTTGTGGGGGTATACATTCATGTAGGTGCATGTACACTTGCATGTATGTGTGCACTGCAGGCAATTACCTTGAGTGTCATCTCTCAGGAGGTGCTAAGCCACCTTGTGTCTTGAAATACAGTCACCGGCCTGCAGCTTACCAAGTAGGCTAGTATGTCTGGCCAGTGAGTACTACCTGTCTCTCTCTCCCGAGCACTGGGATGTCAGGCCTGGCTTTTATTTATGTGGGTTCTTGGGATCACACTCAGATCCTTGTGCTTGCAAAGCAAGCATTTTATGAGACAAAGCCATTTCCCCAGCCCAAACTTTTATTATTGTTGTAAGCCAGAAATACCTGTGTGTCTTGACAAAGGCTGAGTGATTGGCACTGGGCACAAGCGTTAGTCTGCCTCTTGTGTGTTCCCAGTTGTTTTGTATATAGTATATAAATGTTGAAATTGTAGTTTCAGAAGGCAGTGTGCTCATTCTTTTGCCTAATAAAATCCTGCCTTCTGTCATATATGAGTTAACCCACTTTTCCTTAAAAGCATAGATTCCCTTGGTTAAGTAAAGTCAGATAATCTGTTCCCCTCAAGATTTTATGGCTAAAGAGCCTGAAATGTAGAACATCTCGTTAGTTTTGGTTTTTTAATAATAAAAATACCCAAGCAATAAGATCACCTAATGAAATTGAAGTCATTTCCTCAAAACCACTTCATTACTTCAGATCAAAACACTGTCTTGATTCTAGAGCAAATGGTTTGTCAGACATTTTAAAGAATTTGACCATCTCTTCAAATCTATATTAAAATTTCACACCCATATGTTTAAGTACAAATTCAAGTGTCATTATTAAATAACCTTTTTGGATTTAAGAAGTTTATTCAGAGGGTCCACATGGACATTTTTCTCATCTGTCCATTATTTTGCTAACAGAGTAGTTATTCACAACTTTTTCTACAGTATAATTAAAAGATATATCCCTCTACCT